GTACGTCTACGACGCACACTGAGACGTGGGTTGCTACCGGTCTACCTACTGGTACTGGGCGTCCAAAAGTGTCAACTTGTCTTCTTATGCTCGGCCTCGAGTAACCGGCGCATCGACCTCTACTTCGTGAGGTGTCGGTCGTCTGCTACTTGAGTATTTCCGCTGCCACGAGCCTCTTTTCCCGCCACTTGAGCGTTTTCCCCGCCGCGACCCTTAATGTCGTGGCCACGGCTAAGTACGGGCCCTGCGGGGCCTCCCAAACAACCAAGTACCTCCACACACATACTCAAACCGACAGACGTGCGGACAGGCACGCATACACACACACGAACTTCGAAATAAGCTCATGCCGCTAGTTGGGCTGAGCCAGAGCTCTATAGATACTGGAGTTGCTCCATTATTTATCGAAGTGGGAGATAGGTATTGATGCAAAGCTGTTATGCGACAGACCCGGGGATTGAATCTGCCCAACCACCAAAGCTAGCTCCCTTTTACGAGGAGCTTTATTTTAGTCTTCACTCAGTTGAGTTGGCCGGGGCTCGAACCCGCGACCTAGAGATCCGAGTTAGGTAGAGTAGATTACAGTTAGCCCCGTTTGAAAACGGGGGCACGCTACTTGGCATTAGAAAGCTAGTAGTTAGATTTTTGTTAGATTTGCTCTTTTCTTTTCTTTCTGAATTTCTTACTTTTTTTTATTTCTTACTAGGTTTTATTTCTTATATATTTTTTTTTTTCATTTTTTTTATTACAACAAACTATCTTAATGCACCTGCCCAGTTTGTCGGGCAGGTTCATTACCGGAAAAAGGTACCGACATCCGAACGTGGATTCGCTACGCTAGCCCGTTCCCTTGGGCAGGAGTGCTCGGTGTTCGTCGGGCGATGCAGCGAGCCCGGGCGGACAGCAAAATGGCATTACGGGGAGCGTGGTAGTAAACGGAGCGGAGTAGATGGTGCGGGGGGCGGTGGAAATGGTGCGGGGATCAGCTAAGAAGATGCATGGCAGAAGGTTAACGCGCGGGGAGCATTGAAGAGATCGCGCAGAGGAGGCTGCGAGGTAGAGAGCGCAAGCAAAAAAAAAAAAAAAAAAAAAAAAAAAAAAAAAAAAAAAAAAAAAAAAAAAAAAAAAAAAAAAAAAAAAAAAAAAAGGAGGAGGAGGAGGGAGTAGGAGAAGAGGGAGAAGAGAAAGGGGTTCATCGAGATGGGGTAGGTTGTTGTAATTATCGATCTTGAATGACGAATGCCTAGTAAGCGCGAGTCATCAGCCACGCTGGATACGTCCCTGCCCTTCGTACACACCTCCGATACTCCTACCGATTGAATGGTCCGGTGAAGTGTCCAGTGCGCGGTGATCTCGGTGCTGCCGCTGGAGGAGGGGTTGCTGCGGAAAGGTTCATTGAACCTTATCATTTAGAAGACGAAGAAGAATGAGAAAGGAGGAGAGAAAAGGAAGGAGAGGAGGGGTAGAAGGGGAAAGAGATACTTACCTGAGCCGACGATGATGAAGACGACCACCAACGACGACGACTGACGAGGACGAGGACGACGTGCGGACGACGACGACAACGACTGACGATGACGACGACTACGACAAGGACGAAGTGAGAAAGAATAGGTAAGTCGCCAACCTCACAACTTACTTTTCAAACTAAAACGAATGAACCTACCACTATATCGTGGGTGTATACACTACTGTGTGTTTTTGGGAGAGTGTGTATGTATGCGTGTGTATGTGTGTGTGTGTGTGCGAGAGAGAGAGAACCTTTAAGTGTCCAGCACCACGGCCCGCCGCACGCTACTTAGATCGATAGAATGAGCAAATCAAAAAGTGGCAGTGCGTATTTCCACGTTTCAGCGGAGGATTCATTCCGTTTTTGCTCATCCTGTCGAAGGACTGTGTGTGTGTGTGTGTATGTGTGTGGGTACTTGCTCTAGTATCATTCCATTTCGTGCCTCCCTGCGTCCGAGAGAAAGAGAGAGAGAGAGAGAGAGAGAGAGAGAGAGAGAGAGGATACTTCGATCGATTCGTTGAGAGACTTACAGGGCAAACGGGTGAGTCTCCAAAGGCCGCGGCAGGTCTCGCGCAACATCCGTCGAAAGGATGGGGAGATCGATTGAATCCTCCGCTGCAAACGTCACAATATCTGCTACTACATGTGTGTGTGTGTGTGTGAAAGAGAGAGAGAGAGAGAGACTATAAGTCTCAAACCTTTGCCAACTACTAAGTCCCCAGCCCACGGCTCGACGCGAGCTACCTGGATCGATAGAACGAGCAAAACAAAAAGTGGCAACGTATATTTCCCCGTTTCATGAGAAGATTCATTCCGGTTTTGCTCGTCCTATCGATGGAACGATGAAAATGTGTGTGGGTGAGACGTTCATGATTCGACCAAGGAGGAGAGGAGAGAGAGAGAGAGAGAGAGAGAGAGAGAGAGAGAGAGAGAGATCGAGGAGAAAGAGAGGGAGATCGAGGAGAAGGAGAGGGAGATTGAAGAGAGAGAGGGAGAAAAGGGTCGCACTAAGGAGGAAAGACGGGCGCGAGTGTAGATGGGAGGTCGGAGCGTGAGCAGGGGTGGATGCGCGAAGGAAAGATGGTTATGCGGTGGTAGCAGAAGAAGAGCGCGCGAAGAAAACGAGATAACAGCGAGAACAACGAAGGAGAAAAAAGGAGAGGGTGAGGAGAAAACAATGAAGATGAAAAATCATGAAGAAAGATGGCTACGACAACTACAATCAAGACACAGACTACAAGGACAACAAAGAAGGGATAGGAGGAGGATGAAGAATAGGAGAGGAAAAGTGAGAGAATGCCTTACCTGGTGCAGCGATCCTCGTTAGACGCCCCGACACATCTGTATCGAACTGGAAGGGTAGCTTGTATACATTATTATTATTATTATTATTATTATTATTATTATTATTATTATTATTATTAGGTGCATAGTAGGTCTGGGTGCAAATGACACCCGTGTGTTGGGGGGGATAGAGGTTGTGAGTGAGATGAGAGACGTACCAGGTGATTGAGGCGTGCGACATTGGCCGAAGATCTGCTCGTACTCGGGGAGCTGTTGACGCTACCAGCGACATCGTAGTATGGGCCAGATAGGATTTGTCGTCGTAAACTGGGCGCAGAACGCCAGATAGGATATCAACATTGGTTCTTCGTCGATGATGATGATGAGACTGTTTCAACATTGTCAACGATGAGCTTTTGCTGTGCTCTCATTTGGTGAAACTCGTGATGCAATTCTGCTGTTGGTTTGAGAACTTTGAGGTCACGACTATCTGGCCTTGAGTATATAATGCTGTTTGATTGCCATTTTGCTATTGCTCATCTTCTTTGCATTTTATTATTATTATTATTATTATTATTATTATTATTATTATTATTAATTTATTATTTAGTTGTGATCAGACTCGCTTCCTTCTTACCTCGCATGCATGCAAACAGGCGACATATCAAACTGGCGACAGGGGCCAGACACAAAACTCAGAAATATGGCATCCAGATACGAGTGCACTTCCAATTGGCTATGGTGACTCAGCACCCAAACAACTCGTTGTTCACATACACCGGATCACCCTCGATATCCCACACGCATCACTCTGAACAATCACACAACACACACACTTCCCACTAACTACAGCTATGGCGGCTATGGCCGCAACTACCCTATTGCTATGACTACGCCACTTCGGCTTCGGAGGCGCTGCAGACCACCTCGCACAGTACGCTGTAGCAGCGCTTTCGCATAGCTTACGCAGCGAATGAATGAATGGCTGTGCACGGTCTCTTGATTTATGCTTTTGTGACTCGTTGGTCTGCCCTGTTTCCCTGTCCCACGCTGTACACAGTCCCAGACGGTACTTGCTTGACTGAACCGGGCTGGCTGGACTGGGACTGATTGAACCGTGCCGCATCCCCGGAGAGAGAAAAGAGGGGGGGGCAAACAGGCACAGATATACAAATTGTCGAGCAGACAGACTGACTAAGAAAGACAAACAGACAGACAAATTAGACAACAAACAGACAGACTGGATAGACCGACAAACTGTGACAGACAGACAGACACAGAAAATACAGTGACACGCAGCTACTTTGACGCACCCGGTCACGGTGACACGCACATACAAAGTAACACACAGCTATTGTGACACGCACAGACAGCTGCGTGTACATAGACAGACACACACACAAGTGTTGTGACACACAGACAACTGCGTGTACACAGACAGCCACACGCACACAGCGAAACAACTGTACACAGTGACACAACTGTACGCGGTGACACAACTGTGCGCAGTGACACAGTTGTACGCAGTGGAACAACTGTACATAGTGACACAGTTGTACGCAGTGATGCAGTGGTACACAGTGACGTAGTTCTACGCAGGGATACAGCGGTACACCGGGGGCGCAGCCGTGCACAGCGACACAGTTGTACACGGTCGGTGGCACAGTCACACACAGTGTGCACAGACACACACGGTGTGCACAGNGTACACCGGGGGCGCAGCCGTGCACAGCGACACAGTTGTACACGGTCGGTGGCACAGTCACACACAGTGTGCACAGACACACACGGTGTGCACAGTCTCACACAGTCATGCGGCAATCACACACAGTCATACCGTGCGCAGGTACGGTAACACACACGCAGATAAACATAACTGTGACACACGCCGTCAAGATCACATGGATGCACAGTCACAATGACACACACACGCACAAACAAGTGACAGTCATTCAAGTGATCCATGCGCTGTGACACATACACAGTGATAGCCGCACAGTCACGCTGTCACAAGGTGACAATCACACGGTGACACACGCAGTCACGGTGACATACACAGTAACTAACACCGTGACACACACAGCGGATTGCGACATATACAATGAGACACATACACGGTGACACATAAAAGGGGAACGTACACATGCGCAAAGAGATAGAGAGGGACAGAATGTGAGAGAATGAGAGAGAGGGGAAGAAAACATACCTGGTATACACCCGCAGCCGCATCGGTAGCGGCGTCATTGGCCTTCACGGTCAAAGAGAGCCTGTTGCATGAGCGCGGCAGTAGAAGGGAGGCCCCTGATATACGTGTCGGATGCAGCCAGGGATAGGCTCCCATTGTCAACTCAATGCAGTATTCGGATTTCGATTGATGTAACATCAATGCGTTACTAGTCTCTTGTCAAAGTAGGACTTCCTGGCTTTCAAAGGGGGTCTCACCATCTGCAATCTGTCCTCCCGCTTTCACCATTGCCCTACGTCATTATTATTATTACTATTATTATTTTGGATATTATTATTATTATTATTTTTATTATTATTATTATTATTATTATTATTATTATTATTATCTCATGTTGTTATTGTGATTAGGCATCATAACAGGGAAGAGATGAAGAGGGAGCATGGGGCATTGGAAAGGGAGGTGACGCTATCCTTTTGCGATAAGTGCCCACCTCCTTCACCCTTCTCCATGCTTAACTTGTGTGGTCCTCTCAAGTACTTGCCTCCTCAACTTTATTGATTGGGGTCTGATCCCCGTTGAGTTAATCCTGACCTCAGCTAACCCTAAGAGCCAGCAATCGATTGCATGAGTTGTATATGACCAATGACAGGGCGATTGCGGGAGCTCTGCTGGAGTTCTGACGGAACTCTGGAGGCAGAGAACAGTGAGGTATGTGTGCCTCAACATAAACCCTAAACCCTAAACCCTAAGCCTATAACCTCAGGGGACTGCCTATGACAATACTGAAGGAGTGAATACTTTGAGTCAGGGATCCTTCAGGGCTAAACCCGGGGACAGGAAGGCAAACAATAATGCTTGGGTTAGGGAAAGGACGTATGATTTGTCTGGGGTGTGTCTAACTGATGTTGGTAAACACAGCGAGAACAAGAAGTGTTGAGTTGATTGTCTCGCTACGTGAATGTTTCTTTTGAGATGTGATGGACAGGGAAAGGGGTGTACTTCGGACAGCATTCCCTCGCCTATAGGTCACCTGACCATGAGATAATGGGTTGGGGGATCATGAGAATGATGTTGAACTTATGAGTGACAAAGCCTTCTGGTATGATGGATTGCCTCAACTAGCCTTATCCTAATGACTAACCCATATCTATGCACAAAGAGAGTCCAGGCTAACTCAACTTAGGATCAGCCGGATGGATTTAGGACATGAGGTGCAAGTCCCGTGTGACCCACCTGCGTGATCCTAAAGGCTTCCGGATGGTTCAAGGTTGGGACTTGGCGTCGATATTTATATATATATTAGGCGATCGAGAGGAGCGAGGCTCTATGAAGCCTGCCTCATCGCCATATCTATATGTATACTAGGCGATCGAGAGGAGCGAGGCTCTATGAAAC